TCCACTCGTCCCTAACCTAGTTAATGATACCACCGTTGCATTCTACAACCAGGCCAGGGACAAGGGAGTCATTATAGATTTTTCTCTCATCTTCTGTCCTAGCCATCACTGCCCTAGTCCAAAAGCTAATGATTTCCCACCATGACTGTAAAACCACACACAAAAAACTCCATTTATTTAAGTAACAATAATGAGCACTTTTACAACATTCCCCCTAGTATTTCAATTTATGAAATGATGACAGATTACCTTATTAGCAAACCACGAAGGCTATATAGAAACATACCTAGCTTACACTATTTGCAGCATTTAGAAACCTTTATACCCCAGTACTTATTGTTCAGCACATACCAGCTTGTTGCTTATCAGTTCACTTTTGAATAAAGTGAATGTGGCATATTTAAAGAGATCCGTAATAATTAAGTTGCATGTTAAGCAATTTGGTCAATAATGACATATAACAAAATACAATTATTACACCTTGTTAATTCACCAGAACCTCTTTAAAACACACCACCCACACAATGACACACATACCCATATATCAGGAAGTAGAACTGCTATAAAGGAGCTTCCATCCACTCCCATCCTATTGTCATGGATAACAATACACTATCATGGCCCCTTTAGAGTAAAAATAGCGTATCCTTAGGTGAATCAGAGGGACTTTGCCTCTCTAAGTCTTTCCTACTTTGCTCTCTGATGCCTGAAAGATGAAACCTTCTATCCCACAAGATATCAAACTGTAGTTTTCCTGAAGAAGAGAAACAAGTAAACTATTCAATAAGGCTAAATAGATGAAACTCAATCATGCTAATATAATAAAAGACAAACATGGAGTCTTCTTTGGTCAACTGAGAAAGGAGATGAGGAGAGAGGTATATTGTTAAGAGGCCTTCAGAAGCAATGCCTTCCAATCATTACTGATTTTTTTCTTAGTTTTCTTTAATGCACATGTATTTTATAGTTAGGGGAGAAAATGTTCCAAAGCAAGTCTGCAGGTCTAGTGTAAAGGGCAAATAAGATGGGTGCGTTGGCCCATGCCTGTAATCCCAGCACTTTGGGAGGCCAAGGTGGGAGGATCACTTGAGGGTAAGGAGTTTGAGATCTGCCCAGCCAAAATGGTGAAACCCTGTCTCTACTAAAAATACAACAACAACAACAACAAAAAAATTAGCTTGGCATGATGGCTCGAATCTAGCCTGTAATTCTAGCTACTTGGGAGGCTGAGGCACCAGAATTGTTTCAGCTGAGGAGGCGGAGGTTGCAGTGAGCTGAGATCGCACCACTGCACTCCAGCCTGGGTGATAGAGCAAGACTAACTAAAAAAGTTGTAATAATAAGCAAAGAAATTACAAGACCTCTGTTCTCCACGCTACCCATATTTACTATTCATTTGCTAGTGGTTGCATTCCAGTTGCCAAGAGCAAACCCCCAGATTTTAAAAATTATGACTTCAGTTCTGTTCTACTCTTATGACAAGTAAAGAGGAATATGCAGAGACATAAACTAAACTGTGAGTGGAAAGGGGTGGGAGAGGGATGATTAACTCCTGACTGTATTGAAAAAAGCAAGCTGACACTTCTGCCCTAATTAAGCACCTAAATAATTGAGTTCTTTCTTCTTATAAAGTATATTACTTTGTAGAGTATTAAAGTTCCAGGCAGGAATTCTTACCAGTTTTAACCCATGAATTTGATGGACTGAAGTAAAAGCAATTTTTCCGTTTTTCTTTGAAATTATCTCAGGAATTTGCACCCCCTTGTGGTCAAACATAAAATTCTTAGTTTCCAAAAGACCATTTTTTACTATTGGGTTCTTTGTTCAGGCATAGGAACTACAGTTTTATTAGTTGATTTTGTTTTCTCCCATTTTAGCGAATCAAGAAGTTTTCATGAAATAAATAATTTTAGTTTCTTAAATAAGACTTTAAACACACTTGGATTTAAGTCTTCTAAAGGTGACTTCCACATAAACCTCAGTCTCTGGAAAAGAGAGATAATAATTGCACCCACTTCTTGAGTTACATGAGAATTCAATGGAAAAATGCATGTACATGCTTAGCCCAGTGCTTGACACATATTAGGTCCTCAATAAATGTTATTTATCATCATCACTTTAGAATTCTCGACAGATTATATAAAGAAGGGGACTAAGATAAAAAATTCTACAGTGAGGAAAGTGTTACTTACCTATTTGTAAGTTCTAGTACAATTTTACAAATGTCTCCCAAATATACCACTTACCCAGACTCCCTCAGCTGATTATCCCCACAGGTACATCGTGTGTGTGTGTGTGTGTGTGTGTGTGTGTGTGTGTGTGTGTGTATTTATTTATTTTTTCGATATGGAGTCTTGCTCTGTAACCCAGGCTGGACTGCAGTGGTGCGATCTTGGCTCACTGCAACCTCCGCCTCCCCGATTCAAGCAATTCTCCTACCTCAGCCTCCCAGGTAGCTGGGATTACAGGCACCAGTCACCATGCCCAGCTAATTTTTCTATTTTTTTTTTAGTAAAGATGGGGTTTCACCATGTTGGCCAGGCTGGTCTTGAACTCCAGACCTCGTGATCCACCCACCTCATCCTCCCAAAGTGCTGGGATTACAGGCATGAGCCACCGCGCCCGGCCAATACATTATATTTTTAAAGTACAAGTAATATGTGGTTATCTCTGGATGCTAGAAATTTGGATGATTTTTACTTTATGTATTTTAGATGGACCTGGGTTTTTTAACTTCAATCAGAAAACAATAAAACAATTTTATTTCCATATATTATTCTTATGAGATGATAAAATAAATTAACATCCTTATTTGCCTAACAGGGATCATTATTCATATTTGGGGAAAAAAAATAACTTGTCAGTCTGATTTACCATTTTAAGGGGCTCTTGAATAAGAATGCTAACCCCTAATGATGCTAACCGTAGTTTGATTTTTTTTTTTTTTTTTGAGATGAAGTCTCCCTCTGTCACCCAGGCTGGAGTGCAGTGGTGCGATCTCAGCTCACTGCAACCTCCACCTCCCGGGATCAAGCGATTCTCCTGCCTCAGCCTCCCGAGTAGCTGGGATTACAGGCACATGACACCATGCCCAGTTAATTTTTGTATTTTTAGTAGAGACGGAGTTTCACCATGTTGGTCAGGCTGATCTTGAACCCCTGACCCATGATCTGCCCACCTGGGACTCCCAAAGTGCTGGGATTATAGGCGTGAGCCACGGCGCCAGGACTAGTTTGATTTTTAAAACAACTATTAAGCCAGTTTAAAAGATCAGTGTTAATGACTGACTCACAATAACAAACATTTACTAATATGCCAAGCACTGCTGAAATTCCTTTAATATGTTAGCTCATTTACATACTTAAAACAACCCAATGAAGTATTAATAGTACTTGTTTTACAAAAGGTCCAACAGATGATTTACCCAATAAGGCCACACAGCTAGTACGTAGTGGAGCTGGGATTCAAACCCAGGCAGTTTGGTTCCAGAGTCAGCCCACTTAAGTAGTGCACAAAAGTACCAGAGATTAGGTAGTGTATTTATGCTACTCTGCCACGTCACTTCTTACTGATCTCAAAATTGCTAAAATCCATTTCTTTTCCAATGCACCTCAATAAAGCACACCATGTCCCCTTCTCCCACTTCGTTACTTAGTACTTCGGGCACTTTCATATCTACAGTCTTATTTAACATTCACAATGAAGGCTTTAAAATATTTACAACTTTATTATTAACTGTCCTATCGGAGTGCCCATTTGTTTGAAGGTAGACAGATTTGCCTAGATATTGTGCTTCTACTTACCAGTTATAAGACTTTGGGGCAGATTTCTTAATCTGAGCCTCAGAGGTCCTTATCTGTAAAGTGAAGATAATAACTACTTCATAAGGCTGTTGTGAGCAATAAATAGGATTAATCGGTAAATCATTTATTTAGCATAGTGCCCAGCACACAGTACACAAGTCAATACGTGATAGCTGTCAGTTTACCAATGCGTAGCGCAACAGAAACTCCTCTTTGCTGGATTCAGTTCACTTACCACGCCATAAAAAAAAAAAAAAAAAAAAAAAATCACCCTAAGTGACACACAAAAACTGCCCATTCCTATCCCAGGAAGTTTAAGGACAAGTAAGACGGTAAGAGAAACTGGATTCAATGAAAGCGCCTTCGCAACAGGCAGCTTAGGACAGGGAAGAAGGGCTTCAGCAAACTTAACTTTAGGCAGTGGCACGCGCGCGAGCGTCCACACACACACACACACACACACACGTACGTTGATAAGGCGGGAGACCACGCCTCCTCTGTGGGCTCAGATTGGATCGTACGGCGTGGTAGAGAACCCCAGGGCTGCTGAATCTGACATGTGGACTCATCCACTTCCGTGCTACCTGTGCTGTCTTCGGCAAATTACTTAACGTCTCTGAGCCTAGGTTTCGTTGTCTTCAAAACGAGAACAGTAATAGTTCCTACCTGGTAAAGTTGTTCCGAGACATAAGTGCGGTAACACCTGTTAAGCGCTGGCGGGGCCGTTTTAAATGCACGTGTATCCATACATAAAGGTCTCATTGACACATTCCGTTGTTTGAAGCTTAGAAACCGGCTGTAAGATGTTTTTCTTTTTCCCTAAGCTGGACCCGTATTTGTTTACCTCCAACATAGACTTAATGCCTGCGGACTGATAGCTATCTGTGGACCCTCGGCCCCACAGCCTCTTCGTTCTCTCAACCTCCACGGCTTTGCAAAAGCGCTACACGCACGCGCAAAAAAAGAAGCAGGAGGACTGCGACCGAGGAAGCGAAGGCAGAGCCGCGCACAACGATGATTCTGCGCATGTGCCTGGCGGGAGGCGGCGAGGGTTGGAGTTTGCGCTTGCGCAAAAATGTCGGGAAAGCGGGAGAAGAGGGGTTAAGAGGCGGTATTGACAGCTGTGGAGGCAGCCCGCGTTCCCGGCATGCCCCGGGGCGGCGGGGTTGGCTCTAACGAATTTGAATGAGGAGCTTCAGCGCTTTCGGCGCCATTTTCGAGTGATGCCTGATCTCATCAATCTAGCGGGAGAGACAGGCTAACCTGTCCGAGTATAGCGCCACTAGGACTGCGCCGGAAAAATTACTTTAAAAATCGCCAAAAATTACTTGGAGCAAAGGGCAGTCGGCGGAGCTTCGCCAAGATTGGCGCAGTCGGTAAGTGCCTGAAGAAGTAGCAGAGCAGGACTCGGGAGGTGGCAGTGGTGGGACCCGCGAGCAGTCGGGGGGTGCAGGGAGTGGGCGCTGGGTCGGCTCTCAATTGCCAAAAATCTGAGGAAATAGGGTTAGGGGTCACTTGGGCATCTGCGAGTGGGCGGCAGCGGGCGGAATGTGGCGGGAGCGCAGAGAGACGGGGCTGTGGGGGGAGGGGAACTGCAGTTTGAGCGGGACGCGGACGGGCTGCGGCTGAGCAGCCGCCGCCCAGCGGATCTGTCAGCGAGACCCCCAGCCCTGGGCCGGAGCCGGGAGGATGCGCGGCGGTGTCTCCGCAGGCGGCCGCTCCTTGACAGGAGGACTGGACGCGCTCCCCTCCCCCTTTTCCGAACCGGGCCGCCTTTTCTCGCCGTTTTCCCGACCCGGTGATGGCCGTCATTTCTTGACAAGAAACTTAAGATCGGCAAAATTCAGGACCCGGAGTCATGGGTCCCTCCGGTCGGTGGTGGCGACAGTTCCCTCCGACACCGCCCGGTACCCATGTATCTATATTTTCTTTTGACGCTGAAGCGTGAGGTGCCCCAGGAATGAGAGTTTCCCAAGCCCGGGCCGCCCTCCCCCGGCGCGCCGGGTTCCCGTGAGGTCTCTAGGTATGTAGGACTGGCCGCGGCTCGCGCTTCCAGGACGGGGCAGGGGCAGGCTCTGGAGGCTGTAGCCCGCTCTTGGGAGAGATGCTGGACTTGAGCTGCTTTCTGAGGACTTTTGTCATTTGACTTGCGGCGTAGTCCTTTCTCAAGGGGGAGGGGAGTTCACGGGTGAGATGAAAGATGGGGCTTCGAGCTAGCGATTTCCTTGTCCTGGCTATTTCCTTCTCTTCGCACTTTTCTTAGAAGACTTTTTTTTTTCCCCTCCGGTGTTTGAAACATGTAGCAAGGAAGAAAAGCAATCTACGAAACTATTAGTGTTTTCCTCCCACAAAACTCTTTACCCGGACAACTTAACGGTAATTTCGGGATCCCCACCTTTTCTTGGGAACTCTTGACGCTGAGGAGGAGGGACGAGTTATTTATCTTTCCCTTCGGTGATTTTTTTTCTCCCCCTTAGCTGGTGCTTTCTATCAATTCCTACTCTGCAGTTTTTGAATGATGTGAGCCAGTGACGGTATTAACTTTAGGTAATACTTTTATGGCCTTTGTAAAAATCCCGCGTTAAGGATGTATTAGATCTTGAGTTCTTTTCCGCGCTGGAGGCACCACTAGATTAACCCTTTGCCGGCGTACTGCGTGTGGGGTGCACGGCTCTGGGTTGCAAGTATTCCGGAGATGCTTTTTGCAGCAGCTGCTGTGTTCAATTGTTTGCAAAGAGGAATAAGGCTTCCTGCGAACTGCAGTGACACGCTTCTTTAGCACTACCTACCTACAGTTTTTCCCCCTGGAATTGATATAACGATTGATTTATATCTTATATTTCTATGAAGACTGGGGGACCCGCCCTCGCTTAGAATGTTTCTCGGAGGAGAACAGAAGAGTGCAATGTGATGTTTTTCAAATTGTGTCTAACGGAGCTCCCAAAACACTGGACTTGTTACCTCCTGATTGGCTGGAAGGAAGCGGGCCTGGGGGGTTTTGAATGTTGAACGCTGGATTATAATTCTCGACTTTCCGAAAAATTGTACTTTTAGCCAGAGAACCACAGAAATGGCTACGAAACATTAGGACGAGAGTTTAGGGGAAAAGTTGGTTTTTAATACTTTTGTTTTTCTCCCTGAAAGGACTTTCGTGTGGTTCTGAAATGCATATTAAAAGTAAAACTGAAGAGGCTGTTTACGCAAAATTAAGTCTCTGTTGGTTGAAATTACAAGACTTACATACTTGTCACTGTTCTTTATTGGTTAAAAACGGAGTGAAAAATTTAGTTTTTTTCCTTTGATGTGAGTTTTTCACCTTAAACTGCATGTATTTGTTGGATGCACATTACGAGACAGTTGTTTCTTTTATTTTGATGGAAAGAAACTTCAATTTTCTTAATGTTCATCAATGATCTTTTTCACATTTTCCATAAAAATTGAACATCTTATTTAAAAAAATTTCACATCGAATGAAAATGTACAGATTTTGCTAAGTCAGTAACTGCAGTGAACTAAAACTTTAATTTGCAAGACATTTATGTTTCTTAGACAACAGGTAAGCACAGGTGCGTATATATTATTTCGCTCCTTTGATAATAAATTCACTGTGAAGAAATATATTGTATACAACAGTGTGGGTGTGCTGTTTTTTATATGGTTGATTTTCAGTTGATTTTTGTTCAGTGTTGCTTGAGACAGCCGTCAGTGTATTTCTATTTATTACCAAGCTTGTCATTCCATTTAATTGCATCTTGATAAAAGGCAGGTGTGGTTTTCAAAGAAAAGTGGTAAACTCACTGATAACCACCTGTAGATGCTTTAAGAAAGAAGTATTTTAATTTAATAGAAGTTTTTTTTTTATGAAAAGTAGTTGAAATTTTGAAGCTTATAATGTATGTTCACATTAAGTCCTATATGCATTGTTAGAAAATATTCAAATAAAAAATCTTACAGCTTTTATAAATCTCTGTATGGCTGTAAATATAATTTATATTAGTAAGTGGAATAGCTGAGTTTATAATTCATACTATTTTGTGTTGTCATCATAACAAGAATTGTGATAACAGAACCCATTTTCATTACCTTTGTTCAAAGCTATTTATTTTGGGTCATCTCATGAAAATTTCATAAAAGGTGCTAATTATCTTCTCAATAAAATTTGACTTAATGAAATTGTAGGAGATTTCATTTCTATTTTAAATGTAATTAAACCTAAAGTACCTGAACTAGTGGGTTTTGCTTTTTACTGAAAGATTTTGTTTTGAGTTTTGCATTTCCATTCAAATTATGCGAGTTTAGGGGAGAGTTGGGGTAAGCTTTAAATTTAACCACACATTTTTAGCACTTTGGTTTATGGGATTTTTTGTTTAGCGAGTGATGAGTAAAGGATTGTTTTGTTTAATAAGTCGTTTTTAAAAGGAGTGATTCCTTTATTTAAAATACATCACTTCAAACTTGAGAACACACTAGCACCTAAATAAAATCCACATCATTCAAAATATTTTCACTTTTATGTGACGCTTCCTAAGAGGAAGATACCGGTTTTAGACTTGTGTGCATATAGATACAAGTTCCAACCAATTTGTATTTTTTAATGTTTATGTGCACTTATCCATATTTCTCTGTAGAAATTGACAGTTGTAATTTATTTTGTGTTACAAGGATTAATAAAGTCATTTCTTACCATAGGAAAGCAACTGCAGGGTGTAGTGTTGCTACAATAGGTCACCTCTTTTAAAGCCTTGTTTACATATTGTGGGGGAAAGGGGACTAGAGAAGGTATCAGTCTTCCTGGTAACATTGATTTTCATTTGTTTGCCCCGATGCTATTTTTAAAAATTCAAATAAAAGTGCAGTTTCAAGGTATCAGTCTTCCTGGTAGCATTGATTTTCATTTGTTTGCCCCCACACTATTTTTAAATATTAAAGTAAAAATGTAATTTCAGACTTTTAAAAACTACTGTTAACTTATTTGTATACATTTACAAAATGTAGCCTCGGGTGTTTGTATGTAACACTGCATATTTTTTCCAATCAGATTAATATCAGTTTTAATGTTTAGCAACAACTATAGCTAAGGCTAAAAAATTTCAAGTAGCTTTCATATTCTGGATCCCTAGTTTCATCATGCTTTATGTACTACATTTTTGTTTTTTTTTGTTTTGTGGAGACTCGTGTGTATTTTTGTTTGTTTATTGGTAGGCAGTAACTATTTAGAATGTCATAGAATACTTAAAGCCAGAAATATGGGTCAGTTGATTTGGTTTACAAAATGAAAAAAATTCCCAGGGACTATATTAGGTAATTCTTATATATGACACATTAGTTTTCTTCAAAAGAAGATGATAAATTTATAGTTTTGAAAAATTATTTTATAAAAATTTTTCTTATTTTAAAATATTGCCTAAAATTGGCTCTTTTCTTTCTTTTATCTAATGAAGCTTAAAAATTCACATATTAATTTCCTTTTATCCTCTTTTTAGAAGATACAGATTTTTGGTCTAAAAACTAGAAAACACATCTAAGAAAAAAAGTCATACTTACAGTTTTGTGGGGGTTTTTGGTTTGGTTTTGTTTTTAATTCAGCAAACTTTGAAACACTGTATGCCAGGAAACTAATTTTGGCACATAATTAGAGCTCAGACTCAAACTATGACTTGCTGAAATTTTGTAGCCCCAAATCTCATAAGACCAAAGGAAATCAGTAATAAAATACCTCTTTATTTCAAATAAGCGTTGAAAATGAGATTAAGCATTCAATTTTTAGAAGTCACAGTATTAGAACTTTAACGTCGTGATTGTCTTAAGAGTAACAAGATTGATTTTTAGAATATCACATTACTGTTTGTGTGTTTGTTTATCTCATTATTTGCAACTACAAATGATTGTAGATCCTTCAAATAAATATTACTTTCTGGTAGGGAACTGAATTTTATTTATTTATTTATTTATTTATTTTTTGCCTGGGTTGGTTTTTTGTTTTTGTTTTTGCCTGTATCAGAGATGCTTTAAAGCCTCTACCTTTTAGAAAGACAAGTTTTAAATATTGGAATTGATATTAAATATATATTTGAATTTTATTAATATTTCTTATCAAAGTATAAAAAGGTTATTATGCTTTGGTTTAATTCTGCCTTATCTCACTAAAGAAAATTTGTACTGAAATAACTTGTAGTGGTTTCTAAGAATAATAGTAAGCTGTATTTTGTAACATTTTAGATTTGAGTTTTACTATTGGGAGGTTTTTTTAATGCTGTCTTTTTTTATCATACACATTGATTTATTATTTTATGTCCAAACCTCTTTTGCTTCTTATTGCTTGTTATTTTCATCTCCCTACTATTTAAAAACTTAACATTTGACATGTAGTACATTTTGTTTTCTACTGTTTCCTTCTATGATTTTTAAACTTAAGATACCTTAATTTTCAGAGTGCTCAAATATAGAAAACTGTCTATTTTGAGGAAGTCACTGTATAAATGATTGTAATTTTTTGAAATGTCATGGTATTTGCATTGGTGTTTATGAGTTATGGATGATTGTGTGAGTTTTAATATACAATTAAATATTTGGCAACAGAGGAATAAAGGGTTTTTTTAGTTTTTATTCTCTCATTTTCCTAAACTATTAAATAAAAGTGGAAAATTTATTCAGAGCATTATGATTTACTTATAGTACATGATACACCTTTGGTAATTTTTTTATATAATCGATTGCTATTGAATCATTATAATTCAGAAAGGTGAAGCAAATGAAAAAAAAAAAACACGTATGTTCAGTTACATCTCACCACTACTTAGAAACATTAAAAAACCATTTGGTCCAGTAGTGGTTCGTTTATTATTTATAAATATGTTATTGTTAAAAAAAAATAAGCTCCACATTTTGGTCTGTCAGAATTGTAATGTATTAAAATGTTTGGAAATGTAGATATTTTTTCACTTAGGCTTGGCAATATACTAAAGTTGAAAATATTGATAAATTCTTAGCTGGGCATGGTGGCAGGCGCCTGTAATCCCAGCTCCTCTGGAGGCTGAGGCAGGAGAATCACTTGAACCCTGGAGGCAGAGGTTGCAGCAAGCCAAGAACGTGCCATCGTGCTCCAGCCTGGGCGACAAGAGCAAAACTTTGTCTCAAAAAAAAAAAAGAAAGAAAAAAATAATGGCAAATTCTGTCATTAAAACCTTTGGAGAGAAAGTTAAATTTTGTCCCTGTCCCTTCAGTAACTTTTTAAACTCTGTGAATTTTAGAAGTACAAATTATATTTCTGATATTTTCCTTATGAATCTGTCTTGTACTAATTAGTCCTCTAACAGCTACCCGCATACACACTCATCCATACCACTTTAAACATGAATGCCCTAAAGAGAAATGAAAGCAGAAACATATTAATCTGATTTTTTTGAAGATGCTTTAGATGATAAAATATATCACAGGTGTTTCTAATCAAGTTATTTCTGTTTTAAAAACATTTTCAAGTTAGAATTTCTCTGAACATAGGCAAGATTGGGGTCATTTTGAAGACCATACCTCTGTGTTCAGGGATCAACTGTGGAACTGCAGGAGATGGAAATCTGTTGAGTGTCTTCATGCTAAAATACATGACATTTTTATTACAGGTTTTGACCTGTAGGAGAGAACCAATTCTGGAGAACAACCTCACTTCTTTGATTGAATACTCACATAATGCATTGGAACATGACACAAGATTAAGGTATACTAATGAATTTTAAAACCATATAATGTTATGTCTTTGCAATATAATCAGACTAGACAATTTAAAAAGCTGAAACCTATGAACTAAAATCAAATAATTACTAATAAACAGAAATCATCATGTGAAGTGGCCATAGCTGAGCTGTCTTGCTTATTAAAACTCCAGATTTTTTTTATGCAGTTGATCTTCTCATCATCCTAAGGTCCAACTTCAGCTGAATGTATTTATTCCAAAAATAAGTATATGTAGTAGTTTTTATTTTCTTAAGGTTGTTGATGCAGTGTACTCAGTAAAATTATGAACTTTTCATCTTATAAAATGGAGCGTTTACATCAAATGGAATTTGGTGCTTGGCTCTTTGACAGGTGGTAGAGTAGTAGATAGAGCCTGCAAAATTAGGTCAGATTGATGAGAATATTTTAAGCAAATTTAAAGTATTCCAAGTACTATCCTAACCAAAAGTGGCAATGTGGTTGAAACCGAAAAACCCACTTTCTTAAGCAGAAATTACTAGTGTCTTACTCAGATACGCTGAGTAAAATATTTAAGTTGTTAATATCAAAAGTTGCAGACTCTAAAAATAAAATTGTAGAATCCCTAAACCTTCAGTGATTTTTATAGTTTTAGTTGAAAATTTCAGATAGTGTTTAACTAATACAACTTTTGTTTTCTAAATGGTAATCTGGTATAGTGAAAATGAACTTACTGAACAGTATTACTAAGTATTATTTGGTTAATTCTTTCATAATAAAGTATTAATCTTATGTATACATATATTTGTGTCCATTTATTTAGAAACTATTTGCTAAAGTAAGGTTTAGTAACAGTACAATTAAAAAAAATTTTTTTTTACCTAAAAAATATTTATATACTTTGAGGAAATGTCAAAGGTTTGTTTTTATGATAAAATTTTTTAGTCTTAAGAATGAAGTATATTGTCATGATCATAGAACTGCTTTTAACTTCCAACAATGTAAAATTTTTAAAGATGAATTCTGAGATGTGTTTAAGAGTCAATGTTGAAATACACAGCAAAATACTAAAAACTGAAATTTGATATTTCTATATTGTTGTATATTAGGTAGATAATCCAAGAATGAATCTATTAATAGTTGACGTTTAAATAAAATGGAAAGATGTTTAGAAATCAGAGTTTAATATAAGGATGAAGTTTACTCTTATATTGGTGTCATACTGTAAGGTGGTTGAAATAAATATAAGGTATAGAATATCTTCATGTGTTTGAGATTTTTATGAAAAAGCAGCTTAGTTTGAATAGTATGAAAATAAATACAGTTTTTCCCTCACTGACTTAAAAGTATTTCTCAGGTTAGAGAACATTAAGATGAAAAGTGGAAAATATGGTTACCTTAGTGTCTGGGAAAAAAATCCAGGTTCAATTTATCACTTACATTGCAGGTATCTTTAGAAACAGCCTTAATGAGTTAAATGGGAAAAGAGAGGCAGAATTTGATTTTATATTGTAGATAAGATATAAATCCACAGAGTTGTTCCTAATTTAGAGAGTTTATGATTTGTGATCTTTGAAGATAGCAAAATTTACTTATATTTAGCATCATATAGTTGTTCTCCCTATAGTTATATACTGGGTTATAAACTATTAATGTAGCTTAGTAAATAATTTGGTATCTAAAAGAATCAGTACAAATATTAACAGTTAACTTGTATTTGATCATTTCTTACAGGGTGAGAAACTTTAACCTAATTAGGAGTATGTGTTATTTTAGGAGGCCAATTAGCAAAGGCTTCAACTGCTATGTGTGATTGGCTCTTTTTTAACTACCCCTTGAAGGGGGCAGTTAAAAGACATTTTGTAAAGATTTTGACTGTTTTAAATTTGCAGACCTGATTATCTAAATCTAAACCTTGATATGTGGTTAATTATGTCAGAATTTGGGGAAAGAGATTTATTATGTTAATTTTTATCTTTCTTTCAGTGATTTGTATCTAATTTCTTTAGTATGTATGTTTTTGGCTAAATGTATAATCAAGGTTAAATAACATTCACTTTTGGGAAGAATTCTTAGCTGTCCCTAAAATACAGTTATATCATCACTGTTCCTGTCTTACTGAAATAGTTTTTTTTTGAGGATAGAATATTTGAATAAACTAGAATACAGATAACATATCTACTTAAGAAGGAAGTTAAAATTATTTATTATTTGTCAGAGATGTATAATGCTAGTTTATAAGGATATGTATGTTACATTTTAGGCAGTTTGACAGCCATGACAATTTTATTTAATAGAGGTTTTATATATTGCTGAGTATTTGTTAAAGAATAGATACAGTTTACTTTTTAAATAAAAGTTTTAAAATATTTATTTGAAGTAATTTTGTATCTGTGCATTTTATGTGTTTTTTCTTAAACTAGCAAATAACATCCTTAACCTATTTTAGTTATCTTTCTTCAAATAAGACTTAATGTATTAGAATTATATTTTCTGATAAGCATTTTTCAAAGGGTAAGCATTTTTCAAAGCATTTTTCAGAGGGTTCTAAATTTATATTAAATATGTTTTGAAGTGAAATTTCTGTTCACAGCACCACAAACCACGGTTTTGATACTTCATTAACATATATTATTTGACTTAGTTTTACTTTCCTATTTTCATGGTTAGAGTCTTGGAAGAGAAACATGAAGCATGTTTCACATGTGGCTGCTGAGACTGATTAATCCCAGTGGTTAGTACTTTATTAATCCACTTCCTTTTCCAAGTGTCTGAATTTTTAAAAATCTTTCATTAGGATTTGCTGTTAGTCTTTTTTATCGCTTTCATATTAAATATATTTAAAGTGCCTTGTTATCCTCTGATCTTCAAAATTATTTCATTACTATTAACATTATTTGTCCCTCATGGAGCTGCTAAGCAGAAAAATTACTTTTTCAATTTTGATAAAAAATAGAAGATTGGGGTTTGGTTTTGATTTTGTAGAAAATATGATCTAAATTAAAAATGTTGCTACTGTTTTATACTTTTATTTTAAAATGTCTCAAACTTAGCCTTCTTGATTAGGTATCATTATTTAAGTTTACCAGCCAGTTTTAGCCTATGTGGGTTTTTCTTTTTAATAGTTTATAGATGTCCAAATTTTTCTGACTTTTTATATTTTTCAGAATCACAAATTGCTTCAGGTTCTAAAAGATGAGTTGCATTTAGATTTAAAGCTGTAAGTCTATAAATAGCATCACATTACATTTAAAGGTAATTGAACAATGAATAGTTCTATTTGTTACTAATCAATTAATACTATATACTTACCAAGTTTTTAACTTTGTATTCCATATTTAAAACAGGTAAATTGCATGTGGAAGTGTTTTTAATGGGATTTATGAAAAAACATTATGAACTAAAATATTGTTTCTTTGCTAATATTGTCTAAAGTCAAACTTACTGTGATTAGATTTGGGGTACTTGGGAGCCAGAGGCATTTTGTAAGCAAAATAAAGTGTCATTTCTTGGTTGGAGTTTGACATTTTCTTACTTTCCAGGAGAATAGGTAGAGAAGATACTCTTTATAAATTTACCCCAACATTGGTTAAAACTCTTCAGAGAATTTTGATAATTAAGCAGCTAAATCTAAACTTTACAAGCTAAAGATTATTGTATATATCATTAATTTTTCCTTGCATATATTTTAGGTTCCCTTTCTAATCAAAACACCGATTTTGTCTTTTTTTTCTCTCTCCACGCCACTTTTTTTTTTTTTTTTAATTCTTTTAAAATTAATTTTACCATGTAGTGATAGCAGACCTGGTAGGTAGGTAGATCTCTGAACCATTTTTTCTCTGCATGTCAGTTGCATATTCTTTTCTCAGCTTACTGTTTTAAGAAGCAGCAGCAGCAGCAAATAAACAAGTTATCACCACAGCCCTTGTTCTTACCCCTTACAGCTGGGAGCAGAGGCTGGGAGATCCATGCTGCTTGTCAGCTGTTGTGCAGAATAGCATCAATATGCAATAATGGTAGCCAAAGGAGCCTGCGCCCATTCGTTTTTACAAACCTAGGTGGGAAGATCCCCACTGTCACTGTACCACATACACAGTATAGAGAATACATTCTTTGGCAGAAAGGCTGCAGCATAAAGAGAACAGTAGTTGCTTGTAGTTCTTGGACTCTATAATTTTTTACTATTTACTCTATGGCTTTAGTTCATTTAATTTTTATTCATTTAATTCCATCTGTTAGAATGGAAAACTGTCTTGCTTCTGGAGGTATATATGGTATGTTTCATGTAGATATGGTATGTTTCATGGTTTCACTTTTAAGCTGGTAGACTGAAAAAGATTAATAATTAGTTGCTGATATCACAAGTTAGATAATATGTTGAGGATAGAAAGAAAACAGTAGTGTTTCTTCACTTATGGACCATATTATCTTTGTTTTATAAAAGCCCAGTCTAACAAGGCTGAATTCTTCTTGATTGCACTATAATAGAAGAAAACAACATTCTATGTTAACTTGGTGTTATCTAAAAGCAAGCCACAGATGAAAACTTATGTCTGTTTTTTCTTACTACTGTTTACTTTTTCTATATAACATTTCTCATTGAAATATCTTTTATCTGAAAATTTAGATTATTTTAAATCTTTTGGAAACAGGACTTTGTAATTTCAAATAATATAGAAGAATGTTTTTATTTTTATAATTTAAATTTGCACAGATTTGTATGACCTAAATACTCATTTTTTTCTCTGTTTTACATCCAATTTCAATAGGTTAGAGATACAGGGAAGTTTAACTATTGAATTTCTACAAGTGTTCTGAATTTATTTGTAGAATTCTTGGTGGGAAACTAATGACTTTTTTTTTTTTTTTTTTTTTTTTGATGTATAAAGCCAAATTGCAAGTTTGACATTTGCAATAGCATTCTATTTAAAATATAATTATAGTTGCTTTCTGGTAATCTTCATTAAAATCACTCCTGATCACTCTAAATATTTTCCTGTGCCAGTCATAGTAAATTCAGAATATTAGTTCCCTGGTAATATTGTTTTTAAAAGCTTTATCATAGTATGTGCTTAGTTATCTGAAAAAATAAATGAGCCCACAATCTTTTCTGGCATTTTGAAGTCAAGCATATTCAGCCATAAATTGAGGTTACTTTTGTTGTTGTTGACTAATGCTAGAGGTTTTTAAAAATATATGTTTATGTAATTTAACAGATAACATATTAATTACTGTTACTTCCCCTAACTAAAACATGAGTTATATAATCCTTTCTGTTGAAAACACTTCATTTTTTAATCATTACTTACTGCTTACTGCCTGCGAACCACCTGTATGAGAATAACCTAGAATTTAAAAAATAAAAACATTTTTCCAGACCTGGAACTTGCACTTTTTACAAGCTCTAAGAGATTTTTCTTAGGAGCACCACATGTGTGACAAGCACTTCCCAAAATGAACTTGGGGGAAGGATTGTTCATACCAACAAACTGTCTTCTTTTCCTGCATCCTTTTTTCCCTCTTTGGTCATCTTGGATTTAAGCTCAATATTTAATTAGGAATCTTATCATTTCTATTACAATAGTTCTAGATTAAGTTCTTGAATCTTAAATTCAGCTGATTAAAAAAATAGATTAAGTCTTGGTATTTCCTCAATCATATGAGGATAATCGGTGTTATCAAAGCTTTATTTTCATGTAAGTACCTTGGGCCAAATTTCAGTCTGTACTCTTTGGAACATTTAGTATACCTATGTGAAACCAATATTTGATGAAAAACAAAAGGAATTGATCACTTATGAATTTTTAAATTTTGATATAGATAGTAGCCATTTTTAAAAAATATGCTTCCAAATGTTGGAGGAAACATAAAATGGGGAACTTTTCCTATGCTGCTTGTGGAAACATTTAGCAATATCCTTGTAAAGTTGAAGATACAATAGGCTTGAATGCAACAATTTAATTCCTAGATGCTCTAGATAAACTCAGATGTAGAAAATAGTCTTTGTTATTTTTAATAGGAAAAAAATATAAATGTTAAGTAACAGGAGAGTGGCAAGTTGTGACATAGTCATGTGATGAACTGTATAGCTATTAAATGAGAGCTGTGTTTATCATCATGAGTGCATAACCTACTTCAGCAAACAAAAATGAGTTGCATAAAGGTTATATAGAGAATAACATGTGAAATATGTATATTATACCATTTATCTAAAGCTTAAAAGCAATGATAAGGTTTAAATTCTTGAATTGGTAATAATACTGTAAAAACATAGGAAATAAATATCAATTTCAAGATTGTGATTGCATCTTTGGTAAGTGGAATGGAATCAGGGTATAGCTCACAGGAACATCATCTGTATATGAAATCAATTTTCATAAAAAACAAAGTAAGCATGGCATACTATTAGATTTTATTAGAGCTGGATTGGGGTCCAGAGATAGGATGTAGAGGTTCATTTTGGTATTCCTATGATTTTTCTATGGATTTTGAAGCAAATGATTTTGAAATTTTTAAAAACATGCTGTTCCTTTTTATAAAGATTAGTCTACAATAAAATGTATACTTCTAGTGCTCCATTAAGAACATGGATGGGTTTATCAATTCTTTCTATTCTATGTCTTGTAGAAAATGCTTAACTATTAGTTGATGTAAGAACTACAATTTAGAATCATGACCCATAGAAACTAAACATCCTAACCAACTCAAATTACTAGCATATCTAAAAATATGTCATATGTTCCTGCCTTTGTGTACTTGAAATTGTGTAATATACAATACATGGATTATAGATTATACAATTGTATGTGTGTGAGAAAGATTAATCAGTCTTGAGTTATGATCTTGAATTTAGCTTAAAATAACTGCAATTATGTGGTATTGTTTAGAAGCTCATTGGGCTCCAAGTTAGAGTTTTAGCTACATTTAAATTTTTAGCTTAAACTTCAAGAGGACAATAGTAATAGAAAAGCGAATTTTAAAAGCCAGTGATAAGGAGGATGTAATGGTATGCAGGCTTGTAATTCCAGCTACCTGGGAGGCTGAGGCAGTAGGATAGCTTGAGCCTAAGAGTTTGGGCTGCAGTGAGTTATGATCACACCGTTGCACTCCAGCCTGGATAATAGAGCAAGACCCCATCTCTTAACAACAACAACAAAATAACAAGAATGCTGCACTGGGCGGAAACAGAAATGCTGCTGAGTGTTTATAATCTGTGATTGTTCTGTGCTGCATAAGGATCAGAATACAGTGGTGGCAATCTCAGTTGAAATGTTTTAACTTACCTAATGTGATCACATTTTTAAAGTCTTCCCTCTTTTTCCTAGGCTTAATAATGATAGAATGAAGACCATAATAAGAGACCTCTACTTAGTCAGCAATTCTTACCTTGTAAGTATTAACTCTGAATCTCCCAATCATTGTTATAAAAGTTACTGTTTGGTGTCATGTTCTGGTTTATTTCTGATTTTTTTTTTCCTGTTTATCCTAGTATGGTAACTTTCTAACCTCCCCTAACCCTCTACATGTTGAGATTTGATGTTAATTAATAGTTTAAAGCAAGAATAATGCCATTGTCTTGGTAAGTTATTTAGGGAGGTATTTTATAGCCTGGCCCTGTCATCTCCAAGTCTGAGAATCACAATTTTGAGCCCTTTTTCTTCAAAGGAATTAACAATTAACTCTCTTTTTTACTACCATCATTATACAGGTTTATTGATCTTATGGTTTTATAAATTGAGAGTTTTCTCTCCACTCGAGAAACGATTTTTTTAAAATTGTTTTTAATTTCAGTAGGTTACACTTGAGACTTTGTAAAGAGCTTAACATTTAGCTGTTAAAACTTGAAGAGGTTGGAGAAACATGAAGGCAGTCCTTTTTCCTTCCGTTTTTAAAATTTTCATTTATTCAGTACATATTTATTGAGCATCTGCCATGTTCCTAGTACTTTTCTAGGAGGTGAAGATATAGCAGTGAACAAAACTGATAAACAAGTAAGTACATAATTTAAAGCATTTCTGACATGGATTCAAAGTCAGAGGTTTTGGATAGGGGCCAGGACCCTGCAACTTTAGCAGACTCTCCCTGAGAAGGATGCCAGCAACTCATCTGTGGTCCATGCTGTAGAGAAGCACAGTGTAAAGAACCCACTCCAGAGAGCAGTGTCCAGCTGGAAGTCCCCCTTTCTTCTGTCAGGGAAGTTTGCAGAAGGGAATGCAATGGATAGCAACACCCCAGTGATATCTTCAGGGTGGACAAGAAGGCAGTCTGTTTGGTTGAAGGTCAGGAGCAGGCACCTTTATTGAAGTTACCAAAAAATGTCATTTCCATCCATTCCTTGAGCTAATTCTGCATCTCTAAAGAAAAACTCACCTGCAAGACTTTCTGTTCTTAATGATGTTAGGACATGGCTCTATTTAAATGAAACTAGTTCTTCAGATGCCTTCATTAAATTATCTCACCCAGTGACTCAAGTAATGTGTATGTGTTGGGGGATGGTCTTATGATCATAGATGATCAGCCGTTGAACTCAGTAAGGTGAGAATTTTTAGGTAGGAGATCAGTTAAATATTGAAAACTGTTAATAAGAAGCCAGTTTGCAAAGAAGTTGCCAAAATGCCACAGGTCACTTTCTTTTTCTGATTTTCTCCTGGTTACATTTTTGTCTCTGGAAAATTAGAATGGAAACATTTGCAAATCCCTAAAGAATCCTATATAGTCCAGGCTTCGATTCCTTAATTAGTCCCTTGGAAGCCAGCACAGCCCTTCTTCAACTTAACTCTTAGAAAAAGAAGCCTTTTTAATTCATAATACACTCAGACTGGAGGGCAGTTCACTTTTCAAAAAGAAATACGTATCATTTAGTTTCTAACAGATATATAAGCACAGATAACATCACATTCTTAACATCATTTCATCTCCTTTATAAATCTCTAAGCAAGCAGTCTTGGATACTTTCCAGCATCTTTTAAACATAGGCCATTTGTCATATTTCATAGTTGGAATGCTTTCTATTGTCTGTTCTAGGTAAATTCCCTTCAGATTCTAAAATAATGATGTTTTCAATTAAACAATACCCAGAAATATAGGTACATAGTGACTGCAGTAGTCAGCGATCCTGTATGATGGTGTCTTCTCCTTCCCTCCTTTTTTTTTTTAATGTTTAATGCCATTGTTTCTTTAAGATGGGATTTTTTTTTTTTAAGCTGTTCATTTGTGGAATGTGGATGTTCTAGAAGTTGTAGAATAGTGATGTTTCTGTATACAGTGCTGTCAATTAAACAATGGCAGTTTTGGGTTCACTTTTACAAATTAAATATAGAGATGGAATATTTTTCAAGTTTATTTTTCAATTTAGAGACCTTAAACTTTCGTTGCCTAACAAAAAATTGAGAAATAATTATATGTCTTTTTTTCTCCTTTTTCTTTTTTGAACTATTTTGATTTTTCGTATTGCACTTTTGATACAGACACTTAAATTATGTATTTCTGTTTGTAAATGTAAGCATATTTTTACCTGTAAATGTAATTACATGTTTATATCGGTTACGTAAATTTTAATGTGTCATTTGGTGCTTAAAAAACATTTTTAGGTGCTTTGTCAGCAGTTAAGAACATTACATCTCTCTTTTTAATAATCTACAACAATAAAAATCTTAAAACATTGACTTTATAGATAGGGAAAGGAAAGATGAAGCAGAAGATTTACCAGTTCTGTCAATGTTAGTCCCATAAACAAAAATGATAGAGATAAATTACTTCCTAATTCCAAAGACTTAGTAAATTGGATGCTATCAAGAGCAAGACTAATAAAAAGAAATAAAAAAACTATTTCTCACTTATGACTAGTTATCAAGATAAGTTTTTAGAAGTATTATCAAGTTAGCAATAAAAGCAATGACATGTAATCATACCAGTCTAGAAAATACTGTCAATTGTTAAATTATAAATAATACAAATGTAGGACTGACTGAAAATACTACAATAAAAAAATGACAGTGTTTCAATCCATAGAGCAGTAAGTAATCGATGATATGGCAGATGATACAAAATCTGTTGTGCTTTCAATAAAACCATGATGTAATTATATTATACACTACACATAGCCAAAGATTCTCCTATTTTTAATTATTATGATAGAAATTACTGTGATAGAAATCTTGTGTAAATTGCTGTCTACCTGTGCCACTGATAAGGAAATTCCAGTTATCTTGAATAGTTTAAAAATGGGAATGTTGCTGAGCGTGGTGGCTCATGCCTGTAATCCCAGCACTTTAGGAGGCTGAGGCGGGCGGATCACCTGAGGTCAGGAATTCGAGACCAGCCTGACCAATATGGTAAAACCCCATCTTTAAAAAAAAAGGTGGGGGGAGGAGAATGTTTCTGGGAGAAGGGAATTTGCCAAAAGAGAAAAAGTAAGTTACTCTTTTGTTAGTTGGATTAGTGGTGAAGAGTGTTATAAAACAAAAAATTCAAAGAGGTACAAGCTACTATCAACATTTGATAGTAAAGGGAATGTCTTATAAACCTATTCATATGTTGAGGTGCTGTTAATTTAGCAAATATATAAAATCTAGGCTCTTGTGTATTGTTCTATGATTAATGAACGCAGAGAAAGTTCACAATATGTTTCAGCTGTTTTTCATTGTTCAGATAATTGCTATTTTTGAGAATTGGACATTTAATCAAAATGCCAGGTATTCCATGTCCTCATTCTTACATATTTGTCATATATGTGTTTAGCAAAATTATTGAGTTAAATATTAGCTTTTATGTTTAAGCAATGGCTGTGTTTTTGCTGTTAATAAAATTGCAGCCATAAAATTTGAATTTTAGTGCTAAAATTATAGAAAGGAGTTGGGCTTGTTTTCCCAACCTGAACAACTTCTTAGCTTCTAGATGGATGATTCAAAGAGGAATAACAGGGAATTTTTTATTTATGAAGTTATTTGGTTTTCTTAGGAAAACTAAAACAAGGTAGAATTTAACAGCATGGGGCCTGATTTAAATAGATTATAATCGTACAGATATAATCAACTCTGCTGTCATGGGGTCTCAAGTTATAAACATAAATGCGAAAGGTAATATCCCATGACTTATTCTATGTACTTTTGCCCTAATCTACTACCTATTAGTCTGAATCTTGAGTTTTTAAACTTAATCTCCATGGAAAAGCAGAAATAAATTGAATGCAGAATTAAAATATATGTTGTCTGTTATTATACCTGATTTTTTGCCTACACTATAAGCTTCATTTTTCCTGTTATATCCAGTAAACTAACTTAATGCTTATTTTTCTGTTAAATTACTTCAAAATATCTTATAAAAATCTCAGTTTCTTAAAGTAAAACTATTGTAGCTCTTAAAAATGAAGTTTTGATATATTTAACAGTATTACCACGAAGAATGCCATCCTTGGCCAGGCAGGATGGCTCACACCTATAATCCCAGGACTTTGGGAGGCCAAGGTGGGTAGAACATGAGGTCAGGAGTTGAAGACCAGCCTGGCCAACATAGTGAAACCCAGTCTGTACTAAAAATAGAAAAATTAGCTGGGCATGGTGGTGGACACCTGTAATCCCAGCTACTAGGGAGACTGAGGCAGAGAATTGCTGGAACCCAGGAACCCAGTAGGTGGAGGTTGCAGTGAGCCAAGATCATGCCACGGCACTCCAGCCTGGGCAACAGGTGAGACTCCATCTCAAAAAAAAAAAAAAAAATTCAAGTACTCTATCACCAGTCAAATTTTAGAACTCAGTTTAAAATGTTTAGGGAGGCTGGATGTGGTGGCTCATGCCTGTAATCCCAGCACTTTTGGAGGCTGATGCATGTGGATCACTTGAGGTCAGGAGTTCAAGACCAGCATGGCCAACATGGTGAAACCCAGTCTCTACTAAAAATACAAAAATTAGCCAGGTGTGGTGGTGGGTGCCTGTAATCTCAGCTACTGGGGAGACTGAGGCAGGAGGTGGAGGTGTACTCCAGCCTGGGCGACAGAGGGAGACTCCATCTCAAATAAATAAAATGTTTAGGAAAATAATAATACTTTTTATAATAATAAAAAATAATAATACTTATTATTTTTAGTTTTTATATTCTTAGTTCAGCTCTTTCTTTATGCCTCTAGTATTTGGTGCCCTGTAGTCAGAACTTAGAATTGGCAATCTGTCCTCCAAATCCTTAACAAGACAAAATAGTAAAGTATACTGAATTTTTCTAAGTCAATTTTATTTCAAATTGAACTTTATTTATTTTATTTTGACCCTAGAATATTAGAATTAGAATCATAGTAAACAAATGTTTTCCTTTATGTTATAAATTGCATTATGTTAATAATAACAAAATAAAATTCTCATAAGAGGGTAGGTTTCAACTTAATAGATTCTTAGAAA